CTCCCCACACCAGCTCTTGTTTGGAGCTCTTGTTTAGGGTTGCAGAGCAAATCTAATCCCTCGTGGGAAGAGAACACTGAATTACAAGGTTCTATTCACCTGACCACAGGATGCACTAAGACACTGTACTCACCTCACCTACAGAAAAGGTGTAATTTTGTGGATGATAGGTAATTATCATGAATATCAATTAGCTAGCACTTTTTAGTCTTTTAAACTTTAAAAATCACTTTTTGCATAGACTCCAAAATCAATGAAACTGCGTTTTTAGAACAAGTCACACAGATGCACAAAGATTATTAGAACTTTTGGACTCAGTTTCTCCATCCATTCAATGAGAGCAGGAAAGAGAACTTGACTGCTAAGTCATTGAAGCTATGGGCTCAAGATGGATCCTGTCACCCCAAACCCTTACTCACACAAAGCCGGAGGCCCTTCTTGATGGTAAGAAAGGAATTGGCGAGACTGCTGATGTTCCGGAGGGTATTATGGTCAAAGGTCTGGTAATTTTTGAAAACCCTGTCCAGGTAGAGTCTCAGTAAATGGCGGAGAAGGCAGCACCGAGCTGAAGGCTGCAGAGAAGACAAAAAGACAGAAGTGTTGGTGGGAAGAGGGGAAGGGGCAGATAAGACCAGGGAGATGGGAATGCTCTGGCTTCAGACTTCTTCCCAGAACCTACCTGGGCCAAGCACATACCTTTGTGTCTTGCAAAGACTCGGTCCTCCTTAAGATTCTGATGTCAATGTTTTCATCTTTGGCTTGCTAAATAGAAAGCAAGACAAGAAAGGACAGGTCATTAGCTGCTGCCATGGTCTTAGACACCACAACCTCCCGCTGCCAGGGCCTGGTGGGAGGAATCCTTCTCCAAAGCATTTTAACCTTCTGAACTATTGACATTTCTTGGGACGCAGCGTCCTGGTAAGGTGACCCCAGCCCTCCTCTTTTCATGACCACATTGCCAGGGCTGCCAGGGAAGACAGACAAGGAACAAACAGAACAGGCAGGGAGGTGCATGCCTCCCTCACCTACCACAGTGTCCCGAATCTTGGAGAAACCGCTTTGTATTTCCTCGAGGTTTGTGGTGATCACACAGCTTCCCAAGTGGAGAGTCTTGAACCCAGTCGAAGGCGCCCAGAGGAGACAAAACATAACAGAGAGAAGACCAAAGGCAAGACGGGAGCCTTTCATCTTATGTCTGGAATCTGGAGACCACGGAAGCTGGGGATTCAAAAGAAAGAAATGTGACTTACTCATTTCCCATCTCATCCTTTAGAAGCCAACCCAGCCACCAGGGACATGCCTCCCCAAGGTGTCCACTGGGGGGCAGAGGAACCAAACAGGCTCATCTGGCTCCAACAGTACTGCTCGTTCACACAACTCACTGAGAAAAGCCGTGGAGTCTCCTACAGAGAAAAGCCTTCAGGTACCTGCTCCAGCCTGTGCCGTGGTATGGTACCACAGGTCCCTGGTCCTTTATGCTGTACCTATTTCAGCTCTGCCATCATTGCCCAACAGGGAAGTCTGGAGCCACAGGTACTCACAGTGAATAGACAGAGGATGACATTTCATGGGAAATGCCAAAACTTGTTTGGGGGAAATGACGTAGACAGATTTCTCTTCCAGGATGCCAGTGTAGCTCACCCTTCTGGTCCCCTTAGACCCTCAGGGAACTGGGGGAAAAAGCAAAATCTCACTAAAGTCATGACTGTGCCACCAAAAATACTTAGGAAAAAATCTTCTGGATTTTTATGGTCACCCACAGGGTAGAAGTGCTTTGCTCTGTCTGGCATTTGTCTGAGATCAAAGTGATTATGGAAGACTAATAGATTCATTTGGCCCCAAAGGCAAATACAAAGTCAATGATTCATCACAGTACTACTGCCAGAGAAAGGAAAGACTTGACAGATGATTGGTGGAATTTCACCTCGCATCTCTTGCTGGGAAGAACCTAGGGTTCCCACAGCACCCCCTACAGGAGGAATGTAGTCAGGCACTCCTGGGATCAACCTATAACCATGTTTTCCTGGTCTAACGTCTCAGAAGAGGACAAATGAAGTGATCCCCCCCAAAAGGAAAAGAAAGACGGTGAGGGAACTGCAGTGAGGCTGCTCAATAAGAGGAAAGTTTATAGTGTCTGTTGAGTTTTGAGATTAAACAAGAATGGCCTGCCGTTAGGGGAAGACAAGCCAGGGTGGAGGGGGACAAGTTCAAGGAGACACCAAAACACTTAGTCATCAAGATAAAGCATATAGTTGGGCATGGTGAGAGACCCTATATCAAAATATAAAGGGTTGGGGATGTAGCTCAGTGGTAGAGTGACCCTAGGTTCAATCTTCAGTACCACCCCGGCACCAAAGATATGTTAAAGCAATATCAAAATGAATTTAAAATATCTGCAATAAAAAAATATCAAAATCCTAAAAACAGAATCTGACAGTGCCCTGCTGAACACTGGAACAAAAGGAAAAATATGCACATCTATACATATGCTTTCACATATTTTTATGGTTACCTTTTATCTCAAAAACATATGATGAAAATATAATTGGTGACTTTTTGTCCCTTGAAACCAGAGAAGGAAAATTATAAGAAATTTGGGGGCATAAATAAAATATTTAATTTAAAATAATGTTGTGAGTTGTAATAAACCTATTACTCAATTTTTCAATATTCAACTACTTTTAATATTTTGGGAAAATGGCATACATAAAATACAAAAACATGCATACATACACACACATATACACTTGTCTTTCCTTTCACATTGATTGCCCGGCTTTGGCACAATGCTGATAATCATTAGCATTTACTGAATTCCTCCACTGTGCCAAGCAATATGCTAGACACTTTTTTTTTATTTGTGACCACCCGAGATACTGCCAAATGTAGGAAAGGCAATAAACAAGAGAAACCCAAAAGTTTCAGAGGGAAAACCATGGATTGGCAGGCAATAAACAAGAGAAACCCAAAAGTTTCAGAGGGAAAACCATGGATTGGCAGACAAGAGAACTTTGTAGTAAATCCCTTCTCTACAAGTTTGCATCCATGTAGGTTGTCCCGCTTTGCCCAGGGATGTGGGGGTTTCTGAGAATCAAGAATCTTAAAAATGAAAAATAACAGGCAAACCAGAATGAGCTATCCGCCCTGTAACTATGTGACCTTGCACAAGTCAACTCATCTCTTCGAGTTTCAGTTTCTTAGCCCAAAAATGATGATAATAAAACTTACCCTAGAAACTTATTTCAACATTAAATAATCTGTTGTTTATATACCTAGCACACTATCAGTGATCAATTCATCTTAAGTAGAAATTGATGATAGTTGCCTTAAACTTAAGATATATGTAAAATTACCATAAATTCAACAATTCATTGAATACCCAGTGTCCTGAATGTTGGGCTAGGTACTGAGTACAGAGATAAACATGGCAGTTTCTTGTCCTTCAAGAGATTACATCCCCATGGAAAAGGTTCCTTTGGACATGGCCCTCCACATACTTTGGTGAATGGGAAGACGGCGCTGATCTCCAGACCATGCAGAAGGCTCTTACTGGAACTGCAGAAGGGCTGTTGCTTCAGATCTCCTAGGAGTCTGTCTCAAGCTGAGAGGCTCCAGTTATTATATACATGTCACATGAAGGAAGTGAGCTCGTCCAGGTGAGATTTGAAACTCCCACATAATTTCTCTTCTGGCTTCCAAATTCCTCAAGAGCTAACGTAGTGTAATAGCACCAATACCTTCCTCTTCCAGCAAGGATGGCCTGAAAGGATTAATGACTACAGATGTGGATAAAGGATGTGCCTCATCTGGCCCCTCCTTCCTGTTTGGTAAAATGGTAGTTGGGACAGAGAAGATCTGAATTGCAGAACTGGAAGAGAATTTCAGGGTGTGCCTTTGCCTTCTCCTCTAAATCCAGTTCTTAAACAAGTTTCTCTCCAACTCCAGATGATATGGGCTCATTCCTGCTATTTCTCTTTGCTTTTGCTCTTTCTACCATTGCTTTCCAAAAATAGCCCCACTTCCTTTTCTCCATTCATCATTAAAGAGGAGATGCCTTTATCCCTGAACTACTCTGGCTTACACCAACTACTCCCTTCTCTGACCTCCAATAGCAGATTTTCCTTTGGCACCTGAGAGCATCTGGTTTATGGGCATTAATATTTCTCACCATGGCACTGGTTAAATTCAAGCACTTGAGACAAATTACAGACAACTTTTTTAAAAAGATCAAGATGGTAGAGATTATAATATGTTCCTTTTTTACTTTTCCCCTATTCAGTACCTGAAACTCTGAGCTCTTATATTAGAACCCAGGAATTCTACAGTAAACAGGCTGACTTTGGCACATCCTTTCTGGATTCAGTTTATGAATCTATAAGATGACAGCAGCAGAGTAGATAATACACAATTTCAATTCTGACATTCAATGATTTATTGCTTTTCCACCTTTGAGATCAGAAAGCTCTTTTTAACATCTCTCAGTATCTTCCTACAGCTTCCAGAAAGTGAAGGTCATGCTTCATAAATATGGAAAATATGCGTGGATATAAATAATCTAAATATCTCTTAAACTATTTAAACTCATGTCTGTTTTTTTCCATCAATGGTGCTAGGTAAGTAATCACCCATAAACACCATTTTCATCTAAAACTGGGGAATGTGGTCTGACAAGAATACTTGAAGTTTGCATAGGCTGTACTTCTGGTAGTCAATTCTTTTTCATTAACCAGGAAAAAATATAATTGCTTTGGGTTTTGTTTTGCTTTTGTTTGGTACTGGCTGTTGAACTCTGGGGCACTTTACCACTGAGCTATATCCCAGATCTCTTTCGTTTTTAATTTGAAATAGGGTTTCATTAAGTTGCTGAGGCCGCCCTTGAACTTGTGATCCTTCTGCTTCAGCCTCCCAAGTCACTGGGATTACAGAAATGTGCCACCATGCCCACCCACAGTTGCTTTGTTTTAGGCTACCTCTAATGGTCAGTTGAACTCAGTAAATGATACCTAATCCTAGTTTTACTTGAATAATCAAGTATCCTCCTTTCCTGTACCAAAATACCATGTTCTTGAGCTAGGGATGTGCCTCAGCAGTAGAGTGCTCACCTAGCATTCTTGTAGCCCTTAGTTTGATCCCCAACACCACACACACACACACACACACACACACACACACACACACA